TTTTTTTTTTTTTTTTTTTTTTTTTTTTTTTTTTTTTTTTTTTTTTCTTTTTTTTTTTCTCTTGTCTTTTGCTTGATTTTATTAACTTTTATTTTTATTCTAGTTCTGCTTTGCCTGTTTTTATTTATTTTTTAGTTCTGTTTTATCTGCTTTTACTTATGCTTTAGTTTTATTTATTATATTTATTATTAGGCTAAAAACTTTTTTTATTAGTATCTACTATGTTTTCTGATCTGCTGGTTTATTTAGATATTTTTTATAAAATAAAATAAACTTATTTATACTTTAAGATCTTACTAAACTCCAGGATAATTTATAGCTTGAGTATAATATTTAATAAGTTTATATAGTTTTCTGTTTTTTATTACTATAGTTTAAGAAATTATTCTATTATCTTTTTAAAATAATCAAGATTATATTAGAGGATGATAATAGATAAGTATATTTATAATTTTTATAGTATCTATTACTTATATTATCTGTTCTAGTTATAATCTGATTAATTTTATTTTTATCTTAGTATCTAGTAATTATACCAGTAACCTATAGATTATTTCTGATAATAAATACTTTTAGTCTTAGATTTACTAGACTATACTGATTCCTGGTTATATAGATAATTAAGACTGTTATTATTATTCTTCAGAATATTAGTGGTTAGCTTTTTAAGATATTAATAATTAACTTTTTAAAATATTAATAGCTGGCTGGATAGCTTTTTTTTTTTTTTTTTTATTATTTAATTTAATAAGATCTTCTCTGGCCCTGATGGGGACGTGCTGGATTTAATTATAATTTTTTCTAAAAATTCTCTTATATATAAATAGTAGTAGTATCTTGGAAGATCTTAACTAGTTCTTAAGTATTTTATATATAATTTATCTATTTAACTTAATAATAAAGTTTTTAATCTTATTTTCTTGATTGTCAGGTCTTCTCTAAAATAATTTCTATTAAATATTTTTTTTTTTTATTAATATAGATGGCTGGGAGCTGCCAATCATTTTTTTATTAAAATAATAACTAGTTTGTGATTGCTGGATATAGTAAGTTTATATAGAATATATTATAAATTTTGGTAGGTATATCTAGACAGATAAAATAGATATCTAGTATTTTAATAATTTAATATTTAGTATTCTTCCAGTCTAGCTTCTTACTCAGCTGATTAATATTAATATTCTTCAGATTTAACTAGATTATATCTCTAACTTAATATATTAGAGTAGATAACTATAACTAATTTACTTATTATTCTATTTTTTGTTAAATATATACTAGTAATATTCTAGTCCAGTCACTAGCTTTCTTGATAATA